TGTAACATGAGGAAAAACGGTCACACGGACATTGTGAGGCTTAGTTTACAGAACACTTTGGTCTCTCAGAGCTCAGCAATGCATCGCAGTACAAGCCTGCTTCTAAGCAAATAAATAGCTCCATGTAAGTCAACAGCATCCATGTGAAAGTAACTGATTCACAGCATTCACCTGAAGATGATGGTAGGGGAAAAAAAGGGGGGGGGGGGGGGGGGGATGAAAAAAACCCACTACTATTTATCATATTGATGATAAGAAGCTGTATTTGCAAATATTTGCAAGATATCTTTTTACCTGGAAGAACACAGATCCAATCAAATCCACTACATCTTAAGGCTTCAGAAAAAAAATAATCCATGTAATATTAATATGCTTTCAGAGAAGTGAGGTCCAGCTCTGGCACTACCACGAATAACTGATACAGCTTTTTAAATAGGTTTTTGGCCTTCCAGAGGAGGAGGGCCAAATATCTAGTTTCTTCCAGTCCAGTATTATGGCTGAAAAGCCCTTAAAAAAACATAATAAATAAATATGACAGCACAGAATGTAGAAGGCAATTCTCTTCCACAACAGCATACACATTTCTTTCTTCCTCCTCCTTGTTCTTTGTACTTACATGTACATGTATGCTGGTTTCCCTTTCTGCTAAAGCTCCAAGGTCTGTGCATCAGCTACAAAGTAGACAATGCTGGTTGAGAAGTTGCCATCCATAGGATGCATTGGTGTAGCTGCACACCCACATTCTTTCAGAGTTGCTTTGAATTTCCATGAGCCAAGGAGTTTATATTAAGAGATGATTTTAAGCTAAGAATTCCAAATTGCATCCACTGAGCAAGCAGATCTGACATAAGCACCTCTTAGCTGTTTGATCCCCAAAGGATCATTCATCCTGTAAAAAGATCACTAAGAGGCTGCATAACAGAGGTCCATGCAGTCAGCAGCAGCACAGAGAATACAAGTGACTTCATAAGTATTCTAAGGTGGGTGGAGAGGGGGAGGGAAGCAGACAAGAGGTTTTTGAACCTGAATCAGTACTGGATGTTTTGGACTTTAACAATTTATATAGTTTCAGGAAGCAACAGAATTACAGATGAGAAGCCAGTCAAGGACTGTTACACCAAGAATAGCTTAGGAAGTCCTCGAGATGCAAGTTGATACTACTGCTTCCAGCCTCCAACATTATGCAATATCTTTACCAGACATCTATTACTCACCACTGTCAGACATCAGGTAATTGTCTGGATGGACATTTTTTCTGCCATGATAGGGCCATTCTACTACTACGCTTTAAAATCTCATTTAACCATCCTGTGCTCCTACTTCTCCAAAAATCACCTCTTGCTCTAAGGGCAAAAAAAACCCGTAACTCAACCACTGTAATTGTCCATTGATATCAAAAGCACAACATATAACTACCTGATGTCCTAAATTAACGTGTCATACTGCTACATGGTAGCTGAAGCATGGGAACAGCTTAAATACTGCTACAGGATCAGTGGCCTCCAGCAGAAGGGCGGGGCAAATACCAGATAAATATGTGACATCCCAAAACTTCACAACTAACAGTCTTGCTCCTGGTACAGGCTGAAACGGGTTTTCACAGCCAAATTAATGCATGGTAACCTGAATACATCTGGGTGCCAGCTTTTTAAGGTATCACAGGAGTCACGCAAATACATGAGCTGGGAGCCTGGTGAATAACGTACAGTAATTTAAATTACCTGACGTAAAGCTTTTGTGAGGAACAATTTTAGAGAAGAAAAACATTCTCTATCACTTCCCATCTGTAAGAATCACAAGCAGAAATGGGATGTCAAATGGGTTGTGTCAGAACAGAAGCAAGTCTCCAAAATGCAAAACAAAGACTTCTAAGCCACCATTAAGTATGCACTCTGCTGAGCTGCGCTCATATTTGGGATTACTGTGGTAAATTCCTTTCTAGAGAACTGCAAGAACTTTGCACCCAGCAGCCAAGCTTTGCAATGTGCTGCTAGGTACAGCTAGTCGTTTCACATGACTATTCTACCTTTTATTTTTTTTCAGTCTCATGTGCCAAAAAAAGATAGATGAGCTACTAGTATGTTCTCTTGTTAAAGGATTTCACAACAAAGGAAGAAAATCAGATACAGGTCTTAAAGCATGCATTCTCTAACGCCTTCAGTATTTCCTCTCCATATTGGCAAATTCAGCACTTTTTCTCCCTCACATCTTTCTTCAAGGTATATAGTTCTCTACTCCCTCTTTATTTCCTTTCCCAGTATTGCTGTTCCAGGAAAATACTTCTGTGGATTTCTGAATCCACATCTACAAACAATTCATTCCCATTTGTCTTGCCAAAAACATCTCCACTAAATCAACGCTGAAATCCTTTTTTGTAAAAATGAGCTCAGAATAGCTTAGAATCAGAATGACTTAGAATCAAGTCTAAGCATGACTTGATTCGAAACAAGAAACTGTAATTTATATGTTACAGATTTTAATCTTGTTTTGATGTACATTTCAGACAATTTCAAAGAATTGCCTTGCCAATGCAGAGGATGAACTTTGCTAGTGTGCTTCCGACACACAGGTTTTGGCTATGCAGACACAGAGACTGGCCAGTTGATAAGGCTCTCTCTGACTGCTGCCAACAGTTTTTGGGTCACAGATGGGAGCAGGCAGGAGCTGAGGAGCAGGAGACCCCCAGCAGAGCTCCGGGGTATGGCTCTTCATGCCCATCATCTCCCGTGCGAGGCCAAACAATGCAGAGGCCCAGAGTAGTGGCAAGGCAAGGCCCAGCATTTCCCATCTTCCACAGGTACATCTGGCTGCACTGAGCCACTGAACAACATCCTCAACATTCCCAGTGCCCGTCCTTCCTCCCTCATCTAGAAGAAAAACAACATTGCTTCAACACCAAGGAGAGGCACTGACTTCTAGTCCAGATTTTCTTCGGTATGTGGACATCCTTCATGGTAAGGATGTTATGACCAAGAGTCTAAATCAGATTGGCCCCATATTTTTTTCTTCAAGCTGCTAGGATTAGCAGATCTCAATCTGCCTCACCTATTTTTATAATCACACCTTAAAGGAAAAAATAACCTTCTTGTTCCTCTGCCCCGTGACCTGGTTTGTCAACCGGAAAGAAGTGTGATATGTGCCACCAAATGGTAACTGTTCCAGTCATGGGACCAGTTACAGCTGAGAAACCTCTGGAGGATATAACAGGACCTGATTTAAAAAAAGAATACATTTTTCCTACATTGGGGTCACCAACATCTCCTGTTTAGTGTGTCCACCCTCCAACAATTAACCTGTTCATCAGACTTACTGATGAGAGCTTCCCACCAACCCTAGCCACTGTTAGAGTAATGACATTCCTAATTAAAATAAACCTTATAGTCTGCCACCTACAAAATACCTACCTCTAGCAGCACTCACCACATCTAACCTTCAGATCAAACACTAGGTTTCAGAAGGCACTTTGGCAACCTTGCTTTATCAAGGACCTCACAACAACCTTCTGTTTTCTGTTTCCTTGTAGTTGCTTCCCTCTTTCTCACTCTCCCCTTTCTTTTTTTTCCTCCTCCTCCTTTTTCCTTCATGAATCCCATTCATAGCTGGGGTTACTGCCTGTGCTTTACACAAAACTTACTCTTCTGGGCACTTTGCCCACAACACGCTCTCTGCTGGATGCTGAACTAGCAGGGAGAAGGCAAGAAAAACAAGCTAAATATTGCTCCCAACAAGCTCGACCTGGCAGAAGACTTCACGTTGCCAGAGGCAGCGTGCAGGATCCCTGCAGACAAAGCAGCCACACGCTCTGTAAGAACAAAGATGATCCTCTCCTGCTCCTCCCTGCTGCTATCCACGGGCCGTTTCACACCAGTAACGTAGGCACCACAGTCACAAATCTTTTGCCCTGCTGCATCAAAACCGGACTGATGCTACCCCAAAATTTCAAGTGCCATTTTACCCACCTCAGTGAATTGTCTTTGTAGCTCGGGACGCTATTTCATTGTTTTAACTGCTAAGGGATATAAAGTCTCTAAGGTTTTAAAGAGACTCTGCACCACCACTTCAGCCTTCAAAACATAAGCGAGGACGGCATCTCCGACACACAGCCCCGACCGAGCCGTGATGTAGCACAATTGTCACCGCACGCTCGCTTTCATTAGGAGGGCTGAGAGATGCGGCCCCCATTGTTGTTGCGGGGTGGGTTTTTTGTTTCTCCTTCCCCTCTCCCCCACAGCCTTCGGGCAACGAGCCGGCCGGGCAGCCCCTAACCCGCGGGGGGGCACACGACCCCTGCCCTGCCGCTGGCCGGAGGGGGAGCGGCGCGGGTCCCCGCACCACCTGCCGCCCTGCCCACACCTGCCGCCGGCCGCACAGCCCCGGCACGGGGGGGAACCGGGGCCGAGCCGAGCCGAGCCGTGCCGCTCCCTTTCCCTCCCCTTCCTCCTTTTCCCTTCCCTTCCCTCCCCGCTGCCGGGAACAAAAGAGGCCGGTGCGGGGCGGCCGCCGGGCAGCGCGGCGCTCTCCCCACGCTCCCTCTCCCCAGCCCAGGTGCCGGTGCCGGTGCCGGTGCCTCCCCCCGGCTCTCACCTGGGCCCGTCGCGTCGCGGCGGCGCGCTCAGGGCGGCGGCATGGCGCTCCCCGCCCCGGACACGGCGGGCGAGCGGCCGCACGGCTGCTCGGCACCCCCCGCGGCTCCCCGCCCCGGCTGCCGCCCTTACGCAACTGGCAGCGGCCGCCGACGGCGCAACCCCCCCGGGGGAGACGCTTCCCGGCCCCGAAAGGAGGCGGCTGCGCCCCTCCGCCGCCTCCTCCGCCTCCTCCTCCTCCTCCTCCGTCCCGTCCCGTCCCGCCCCCGTCCCACCGCACCGCCCCGGCACGGGGAGGAGCGGGGCCGAGCCGCCCGCCCCTCGCCCCGCCCGGCGCCGCGGGGGTGCCCTCGGGTTGGGGGGCTCGGCGCCGCGACCCCCGGACCGGCAGCGAGGCCGTGGGGAGGGTGTGGGAGGGGAGAGAGGTGCGGCGGGGTGCCCGAGCCCCCAAAACGCGGTGCAAAGGCGCAGGTGCTGTGTGTGTGTGGGGGGGGGTCGTAGTGGTGGTGGGGGTCTCTGCCGGGTGTGAGCAGCGCCAGCGAGGGGAGGCACAAACCCGCAGCAAGGGAGGGCGGCGAGAAGCAGGCGGGTACCGGCTGGTTATCGTTCCGTTCAGGCTTAGGGAAGATAGAGAATAAAGTTATTCACGCGTTTGGGCTTAAAGAAAATAAAGGTACTTACGTGAGCCGGTGCCCGGACAGCCTCCGACCTGATAAAAGAGCTGGCTGGAAAATCTGGCTCTGGTTTCTGCATGTATACATAAACCTACATAAATATATGGTCTGATTTGGACTACTATCAAATCAAATCAAACCCCCAAATATTCTCGATTTTAAGGAACCGGTGCCCGCAGCTGTTCCCTAGCATAGCACATCATCGGTCTGATGTAGAAACGTGGAGGAACTGAGGAGCTCCAGCACTTACCTTCGCTGGAGACCCGGAGCTCCAGGGCAGCCGCCCAGGTTGCTGGCTTTGATGTAGATCTGACAACGGGCTGCTCTTAAGTTTGGGACCTCCCACCGTTTCCAGTGCACTGAGGTTGGGCCAAACTCGCTACAAATCGGAAAGAAAAAAAAAAAAAAAGGAAAAAGAAAAGAAAAAAAAAAAAAAAAGCCCTGATCAGATTCAAAATGCTTTGAATGAAACGGTTCTGGAAATACAGCCAACATTTTCCAACTTAATTATTTCCTTGGGAAAATTCCAGACAGCTGGGAACCAAGTGATAACTCATGCATATTCCTATAAACGCTGCCCTGTAACTTCTCTTCTAGCCATTTCTTCTTTGTTTACCGCTGAGCGCAGCCGGCCCGTGTTCGCGTGCAGCCCGAGGAGACATCTAGTGACTGAACCCTCAAACTGCAAATCCAATCAGCCCGAAACCTTGGAGGTCGCCCTCTTTTCGGGGCCGAGAGGCGAAGGCTCCAGGACACCGTCCAGTGGCCACCATCCTCAGTGGGTGGTGGAGGCCGATTTCAGGCCGACCCCTTCGTGACCGAGGTCTGAAGCAGTGCTGGACAGATTTGTCGGCAGAGGCGCGGGACGGGCTGGGGCAATTCCTAACTTGCAGTAAACCACGGCGAAGGAAGCCCTTGGGTATAAGGGCTTATAAGGCGTTTTCATCTCCCTTTGATCGTGCCTTTGTCTTCTTCAGCTTAACTTTTTTTTAATGCCCGGGAGCACAATCCTTTTAACACGTGCGACTGTAAATCTTTGCCTCATTTCAACGAATGCACACACAATCTGAGTATTTGCCAGTGACTTTAGTTTTGAAGACCAAGCCAAACTGACGGCAGCTAATCTTTGTTTAACGTGAAGTTCAAATATTTCAGCTGGAAAGCAAATGTCCATCTTAAAATAAAACAAAACAAAATCTGCACTGCACTGGACATCCATTTTACACATGTGCTACTGTGCTTGCCCATGAAACACACATCCTCAATTATTAATTCAGTTGTCTGTTTGGACAGACAATTGTGTTCATACACAGTGAAACTGTAGCAAATTAATAGGTGGTGTACTCTTTTTACTGAATGGACTTTTTTTTTTTTTTTTTTTTTTTTTTTTTTTTTATCATGTGTCTGACATCCTGAAAACCACTTTTACATCAAAACCCTCCTTCAGTTATCTTTCTTCATATATTCCTGAACTATTCCTTGAGAATGCCAAATGAAACAGAATGTTCATGCAATTTAATTTGTGGAAATCTCATGAAATATTTAGAGTTAAGCTTTCTTCCCCTTTGAGAAATTATTTTCACTTAACATATTACTCCCACCGAAAATGTATGTAAAGATGATTTTGCCAGATGGATAGGTTTTCTGGTCCCATTAAATAATAGAACTAGCCTCTTAAAATGTGTTATTCTTAACTGTTTTTTTTTAAACAATGCTTTTTTTTTTTTTCCTTCCATTCACATACAGCACTGCTTATCCATTGGAAAGATATGGGTCTAAGACCAGAAAGAAGCATTTACTTTTTAAACATTTCTTCAGACTGCTGATCAACATTCCCAGTTTGAGACGCGCAAAGATCTCGTTTCAGAGATATATGGGTAGATGTTTGTTGGTACTGTATGGGGGCAAAAAGTAGAAACACTTCTACGTAGATGAAGTAGTCTGAAGCTAAATACATTGTTATATATACATGTATTTTAAATGTCACACACACACATGCCTCTCATTAATCTGACTCAAATCACAAATACCTGCCAACTGTGAAAACAGCAGATCAGTTACAGAACGGACTTATCACCCAGAAGCTACAATTTCTAAATGTGATGGTTACATGTGGACGTAACAGTAACTTAAACCCCTAAGTATGTGGAAGGTCGGACTGCAAGATTACCTGACTGTTTGAAATCTCGATATCAAACCCAAATGGTGCACTGAAGCATTGCATCTACATCTGGCACGACTTCTTCCCTCACACTTCTTTGGGTTTAAGCAGACAAATCCTTGTGCTTGATGTATATCACAAACCTTAAATGCAGCAAAAGACAGATTTGAAAGAGAACACTGATGCGGTGACCATGGTCTGATGATTTCAAAATAAGTAAGAAGGAAGCCACCTTTTGTATTTCTAATCAAAAGTAAGTGCGTCCAGTTACTATTCAAGATCAGGGCCTAACTCTGAATTCCTATCCAGGTCCTTGTGATTCAGAAAATTTTGTTTTTGTTGTTGTTTTGCAGATAAGAGAGCAAACATACATATTTCTTTCCTTGTTTCTTTGCCTTTTCTGGCATTCATCCCGGGTACTCTGTGGTAATACCTTTTCCATATAGTAGCTGTGTTTTAAATTATCATACTAAACACATGTATTTTTAATTACCTCTCTGGGAGTTTAACATACTGTGTGGCAAAGAAAAGTGAGATTCCTGAAATAAAACAAAGGCTGCCTGGGCTGAAGAGGTTTGCTGTTGGTAAACTCCTGCTCCTACATTGAAACACGGTGCTTCAACTAAAACTAGCAGCAGTTAACAAGATGTAATGACAGCTTAAAGTAGAAGATGAAAGCATTTAAATTGCACACTAGAGGAATGCTTAGATCTGTAACCAGGTTTTAGGACGGAGTAGTTTCAGTGTGTCTTCTTGTGTCATAGTGTATTACAATTCCTCTCCGACATTTGCACCTTGAAGTCTTCCCCTGCCCACTGAACGACTGTGCCTTTTTTGTTAATTCATGTCAGAACAAAGCCACTTAGCACTCAAGTTTCTTTTTGCAGGTCTATGAGAAAGTATGAAGAAAGTCACTGGAGACTTCATTTACTACTACTGAAATCAGTAGCACTAAACACAGACAGCAAAAACCTGTGTTATGTGGCAAACATAACAAGACTGCAGACTGCTCTGGGTTCTTCAAGGATTTCACAGACCTCCTTAAAGCTTCCCCTAATCAATCCACTAAGTTCTATCAGAGCCCATCTATTCATTCTCCCTCTTCACTTCAGATGTTACCAGCAATTTTACATCAGAGAAACACATTGGAATTTCAAGATTCTGGGTCATATAGAGATTAGAAAGTGTTGAAAGCCAAAAAGAAAAAGTGAGGGTTTTTTTTTTTTTTTGGTCTTTTAAATGTTATTCTCTGTAAGCAGACACTGACAGTGAACCAGCAAAATCATTTCAAAACTCCTGTTAATGAAGGGAGCGCAGGCTGCAGTGAAGGTTAAAGGAGGATTTGTGAACTAGGATTTTCAAAGAAAGGTTGAATGTAACTATGAGGACCAAATGAGAATAGGCTGAGTAGACAGACATATATAGCAGAAAAACATAGAGGCAAAGTGAGGGAAGTTGAGGGGAGGCGAGGCGAGGCGAAGGAAGGGAAGGGAGATAAGGATGTATTTTGTCTTCCATAATTCTGTAAAGTACAGTTTGGAAAATACACAATGCAAACTCATATAGCATTAATTTTTAATATTGTCTCAGTAAAAGTCACAATTCTCACCAAAGCTATCCATATGCTGAGTCGTCTCACACCAAGAAATAATTATAATATTTTTTTTCCACTGTGTTTGGATTTTAGTTCAATGTGACTTAAAACATTTAAACTGATTGTCTTCTGTATTTAAATATTTTTCCATGGGAAGGCTTTTCTTTGAAGGAGTCCACCTTCCAAGTCAGTTCAATATTTATTTCAATGTGATTGGCGTTGATATGTAACACCAAAAATACTAGGAAACTGCAGTAGTAAAGTTGGCTTACATTTACTGGAAACTGATTGTTAAATGATCTACTGGTAACCCTAAGGGCAATTGGGTCCTATCTGCCTGTTTGGTCAAGAAACAGAAACAAAATATAACCAGAAAAACTACTAGTCCAGTCAGTCCCAGAAGAATCTGGTCGGGAGTGCTGTGCTCCTAAACCAAAAGCTGCAGCCTACAGATCTTTACATATCTATTAGATTTTTTTGATAAATTATGGATTGTGAGCTCTTATATAATCATAATCCATAAAGCAGACTAAAAATCATTAAATGCATTATCTCCTACAAGTTGCCTGCCAGAATTTAGCGAGACTATTTGGAATATCTATGACTGTGTTTCATCTCATGCACTTAACATTATCACTTTATGGCATTTCTACATTAATAATGCAGAACATGCATATTATTTCTGTGCCATAAATATATGTCCTGAGTTTTTTTTGGGTCTAATTTGTGTTTAGCAGACAACACTTTTGGTTAACGCACTGAGAAATTTACAAAAAGAAGAGCAGAACACAAAACATAGATTTCTATTCTTCACTCACATTGGCAGATATATTCAATATAGCAGACACACACACACATACACACAAACACACAAATGTGTTGTCTTAATCTTGGAGAAAGAAGGAAAGTCTGGCTTCCACTGCTGAGAAATGTATTATAAATGTTTTGCATTTATATTTAAGAATTACATATCTGATTGAAGGCACAG